TACATACATAGTACATATAATATATAGTACATAGTACATACATAGTACATATAATACATATATTACATACATAGTACATATATTACATACATAGTACATATAGTACATGCATCGTACATATAATACATATACTACATACATAGTACATATAGTACATACATAGTACATACATTTTACATCTATCGTACATAGTACATGCATAGTACATACATAGTACATACATTTTAGTACATACATAGGACATATATGGCACATGCATAGAGGAGTACATAGATAGAGGAATACATAGTACATACCAGAACATACATAGCACATTATAGTACATACATAGAGGAGTCCATAGATAGAGGAATACATATTACATACCAGAACATACATAGCACATACCGGCAGATACATAGCAAATACATATAGCATGTACAGGGAAAGTACACAGCACTTGCAAAGCAAGTTCATGGCAGGTGGATGAATGTGTGTATAACTAGTAGATGTGAAAGCAAAAAAAAGAACTAAGAATAATCCTTAGGATCTTTACCTTAGGATCTGAGATTGAACCAAAAAGAAAACCAAAAAAAAAACAAAAAAAGACTAAATACGAAAAAAAAAACACAAATTTTGAAAAAAAAAAGATAAAAAGAAATAAGGAGAAAAAGAAACAGGATCTTTTACCATTGATTGCAAACGCATTCCGCAGCTGTGTGCCCAATCCTTCAGAGCTATTGAGACTCTGCAAAATGGATCGAGCACCTCTAGCCCAGTAGACACTCCCATGCTGCTGACCACTACCAGAAATTGCTCGAACCTGACACGAAGTCACACACACACACACACACACACACACACACACAAAGTCAACTGTGGGTGAGAATGTTGATACATGCTGGAACTGTGAACGAGTGTGATGGATGTGATAACCGATATGGCTCCACTTTTGAACACCCTGTCACAGTTTTTTGAAGCGGCGAAGATACTCGGCTGTCATGCCAGAGATCGCCACAGCGCAAATCAGTTCTATGGCAGACGAATCAGATCTGCTGCAGCAAATCGCAGTCCAGATACTGGGAAAAGGAGGAGGTCTGTCTGGTAGCAAATCAAGAGGCAGAGAAGACCAATGAGACCAACCACAGAATAAACTTTGAAGTTCTGAACGGTAAGACGAAACGCAAAGTACGTGGACGGTATGATCCAGATGGAGAATAATGACAATGGCGGGGAAGAAATCTCAGCTCTCTTCAATCAAGAAAAATACAAGGACTCGTCCTTCGCAACATCCGTTAAAATTGGAACAATACAGAGAACATTAGCATGGCCCCGGCGCAAGGATGACACACATAAATCAAGAACAGGTCCAAATTATCCTTAACACTCCTTAAAAGAAATAGCGGTCCTCGCGTAACGCTACCATGCGGGCCAAACAAAAACCGGTTGGGAGGTGGTACCGGTGGGGTGCAGCCCATCCCGTGGGGTCCCGAATTTTGGAGTGCGCCTGGGGCACGGGCGTTTTTTTGGTGCGCAGGGTCGTTTCGTTATGTTGGCCTGCGTGGACGCACTATCCCGGGGCGCGCGAGTTTTTTTGGCGCTGCGGCGTTTCGTTTTGTTGGCACTTGGGTGGGGTGTGCGGCGCTGCACCTTTTGTTTCGTTGGGACGAGGAGGAGAGGCAGGGATGAGGAGCGGAGGAGCGGGAGGGGGAGCATTGGCAGGATGCGGAGCGGGAAGAGGAGGAGTGGGAAGAGGGGAGGGAGGAAGAGGGGGAGGATGACCAGCGACAGGAGGAGAAGGCGGAAAACGACGAGTGGAAGGAGGACAATGAGCTGAAAGGAGGAGGACAGTGAACTGGAGGAGCGCCAGGAGGCAGAGCGGGAGGAGGAGGGGAGGATGACGAGCAGGAGGATGAGGCTGACGAGCGCGAGGAGGAAAGGAACATGAGAGGAACGTCAACGAGCAGAAGGAGGAGAACGGTGAACTGAAAGGAGGGGAACAGTGAACTCGAGGAGGAGCGCCAGGAGGCAGAGCGGGAGGAGGAGGGGAGGATGACGCGCGGGAGGATGAGGCTGACGAGTGGGAGGAGGAAAGGAGCAGGAAAGGAACGGGGCGTGGAAAACATGACGATAAGCGGCAGGAGGAGGAGACGACGAACTGAGGACAGTGAATGGGAGGAGGAGCACCTGGAGGAGTGGGAGGAGGGGGGCGGATGACTAGCGGGAGGAGGGAGGAGAGGGAGGATGACGAAGAGGAGGACGACGAGCGGAAAGACTCCACTAGTGGCAGGAAGCGGGGGAAGAGGACGAGCGAAAGGAGCAGCAAGAGGAGTGGCAGGAGGCGGAATGTGATGAGGAGGGGAAGGACGGGATGGGAGGAGGAGGAATGGGAGGACTCGGAGGAGGAACGGGTGGAAGAGGAGGGGGAACAGGATGAGTAGGAGGAAGGGAGAAGAAGGGGCAAGACGACGAGCGGGAGGAGGAGGACGGTGAATGAGAGGACGAGGCAGAGGGGGAGGATGACTAGCGACAGGAGGTCAACGAACGGCCGGAGGTGATGATGATTGTTGGCTGCACGTACAAAAAAAGAAAAAAGAAAAAAAAGGGGAAAAATGACAGAACTGCATGATAGCAGTGTGTTCAGTCCACAGTCATTATGACATCGAACACAGTGCGCCCCCCACATAGCACTAGAGAATGGACAAATAGCACATTCCACACACACACACACACACACAGAGGGAGAGAGCGAGAGAAGGGGAGGGGGTTGGGCAGACGATCAATGGACATGGCAACGAGCGCACTAATACGTGAACTGCCCTTGGACGCATGACGCGCACTCTGCGCCGCAAGCGTAGCCGCGCAGTCCAAATGATTAAATTAAAAAAAAAAAAAAAAAAGGAATACAAGGGCTCTAGAGGAGAGGGATACAAAGGAGAAGACGAGGGGCAAGGGTGAGGGTAGGGGGGAGGCAAAAAGGTGAAAACAAAAAAGAAAAAGGACAGACTTACACTGTCGAGTGGGCATCCACTGTCCCGTAACTTCTCCATCAACAAGTCCAGAGCTTCTACCCACATGAGCGTTGGTGCTGTTACCCTTCCATCTTCAGAGGAACACCTTTCACACAGAGAGAGAGAGAGAGAGAGCGAGAGAGAGAGAGAGAGAGTCGTGAGCATGTGTGTGTGTGTGAGAGAGAGAGAGAGAGAAAGGGAAGAGGGGAGGGGGGAGTGGGCGAGGGGAAGACACAGGAAAACAAATCCCAAAAAATAGTGAAAATAAAAGGAGAACGCCAATATGAAACCTTTCAGAACCTAAACAAGATGTCAAGCAAAGATTTTGAGGAAAAAAAGAGGAAAAAAAGAGTGGCAGTAACAGGGGTTGAGGAGCAATACAAGTACTACAACTCGTGGTGTTGCCACTACCACCTGCAGCAGTGGAAGCAGCAATCAAGGTAGGCGATGAGTCGATGATCATATACCCATGAACACTGCATCTGTTTAGTATGAATTTTGAAATTGAAATTTGAAACCATTAAATGTATTTACCGTCAAACATATCGTCAAAAAGGAGTGCCCGGTGAACCGTAGGCAGAGAGGGAGAAGGGGACAACACATCAGGGGCTGTAACAGACTGTCCCCTCAGAGGTTCACCGACCCATCTTGAGGGACTGAACTGCGGCCCATGGGTTATTTTCGGGGGAACAAAAAATGTCTCCCACTGGCTACCTACCACATACCTTTTCACGAAAGTGGTTTTTGGACAAATACCCCTCTCCTGCTCTCAGTCAAATTCGGAGGGGGGGGGGGAAGGAGGGGGAGAGGGGGGGCGGTGATAATTGTTCGCTTGCCTCTGTTGTTCAGCCTCCTACTGGCTACTTACGGAATACCCCTTTCAGAAAAGGAGTATTTGAACAAATACCCCTCATTTGTGCAAAATGAATGCCTCGGCAAGATATACCAGCTTGACGACCTACACGTTCGGGCACAAATCGCACACCTGGCTATCTATATGTCCAGGTGAATGCTGACAGAGGCATTACGTAAAAAAACACCACCAAAGCACAGAGGCATTCATTCTGTCAAGAGGCCTTCAATGAATGCACTTCATGTTAGAGGACCCCTGCATGAATTATTGGTTACCTGATTGTGAACCTTCCCATCATTCTGACTACATTTTTCATGCTGATTTATCTCATATCAGCATAAATTTGCATGCAAGTTGCCTGGCACTTAAAA